GTGGGTCCGCGATGACGGTAGGTTTTCTCCAAAAAGTGGAAGATTGATTCCCAGTATGGTTGTCCTTGAGTGGCTAGTAAACCAATGGAAAATGGTTTGAAAGAGAAGCCTTTTCTTCCAGGCTCCTCACTTAAGAGGAAGGAGCACTCACCATTTCTTCCCAATCCCCACCCCTTTTATTATTGTGGAAGGAGAGCTGTCCTGTGAGTTCAAGACAACCCCCTCATCCGCCCTGCTAGCTAATTCCTTTCTTCTGCTTCCCTGGGGTTTACTAAGTGTGCTATTCAGAAATGCAAGGCGGGACTTCCAGGAGCAGAGGGCAGACAGCTCTCACAGACCTCTGCTTCCTGTGCAGGAGCTGTAGGCTGTGGGCCTTTCCTGGACCCCAGTCCTCCCTCTCTCTTCACAGACCTGCTGGAGCCTCAGCATTTACACCTACGCAGGAAGGGGGGACCCACATTATCTTGAGAATGTGATGTAACCTTCACCCTAGCTTGTAACCTCACCCTAGCTTTCCAGCAGGGGAGGAGGAGTTGCATCAAGGGCTTGTTTACCTCTTCATAAAATCATGCTATGGTTGTTGTTATTCCTTAGGTGAGTTCCAAAGTCTGAAACTCAACAGGAAGAGGAGCAATCGGTAGGCCTGCATTACCAAAATCCTTAACTGGATGTTTAATGATAAGCACTGAACACAAATTTTATCATGGCAGATGTTTTGTTTTGTTTTTTTGTTCATTGCTACTAGCAAGTACCCAGGGAGCCTGGCACATGATAGGAGTTCAATATTTGTCAAATGACTGAATGCATATGGAGATACGTGGTACAGCTTGTGTCAAAAGTAAGTGTACAACCTGTCAAGCTGCGCAGTCCAATTTAGAAACCAGTGGCTACATATGGCTACTAAATTATGTATGATTAAATAAAACTCAAAATCCTGTCTCTCAATTATACTTGAACATCTCAGGTGCTCAGTAGCCACAGATAGTTAGAGAGGATTGCATTGGAAAAGGCAGATACAGGACATTTCTACCATTGCAGGACATTCTATTGGATAGTGTGCTCTAGAACTCAACTGCCTGCTCTCTTCCACTTACTAGCTGTGTAAACACAAGCAAATTAATTCTTTCAGTTTTGTGACCATTGAATGGGCAGATAGGCTAAAGCACTGAAAACAGGGCTAGTGTCTAGTTCTTGTTAGCTAAAAATGCTTTCATATTGGAATGCTGTCCCAATTCAAGGAACTGGGTCCCTAGACAAAATACAGTGTGTGTGTGTGTGTGTGTGTGTGTGTGTGTGTGTGTGTGTGTGTGTGTGTAGTTTTTCCTATGGGGTATACTAATAAGGCGAGACTGGCAGGAATAACAATTTTGAGTCTGCAAAGTCTAATGCCACCATCCCCCCTCAGATCATACAACTCAGGGTTGTCTTATAATCAGACCTGGCACCTCAAGACAAATTATTGCTAAGGATAGAGATGCTCACGACTAAAGGATTCACATGGTCTTCGCCCTCCTGCGCAGGGAACCTGGCTGTAAAGCGCAATGCCAGTGAGGATTTAGATGTCCAGGGGCTTCAATAGGCAGGCCACGGGGTGAAGCGCCCCGCCCCCCTGCTGCCGCCACACTTCCTGTTTGATCTACTTCAACAGCCACCACAATAACGGAGGTCATCCCACACCTTTCTCTCCTTGGAGAAGTCCTGTTGCACCTTTTTTAATTTTTCTCTTTTCATTATCCACAGAACTGCTTGAACTTTTCACTTTGCTTTGGGGATATGGCTTGATCACTGATATCATAAAAGACTCCTTAGGAATTTTGTAATAGAAAAGCTATTATTTTATATTTCATCCATTAACATAATGTTCAATGAATTATTAAAATGCATTAAGCATTATTTTTTTTTTTTGCTAAAAATAAATTTTGTTCACATCAAACCATAATTGTTAAAAGTATACTTTAAGAAGATAACAAACCTTGGCATCTCCTTGAAGTATAAAACATGCCAGTGATCTGTAGACGGATTTGAAATACATTTTAGGTATTCAGCAGACAGAGAGAGGACATCTGATGGTTTGGCACATTTTGATGACCAACATATATTTCTGAATGCGATCCCAGTTGTTGCTAAGCAATGGATATGCACATATAAAATGATCCACAGAGTGTTCTGGAATATTGAAGATTGATACATTGTGTTATTCCTTGGCACTTTTAAATGCCAAATAAAGTATTTTCTGACATTTTCCCTGTTCTTCAGTACATCTACTGCATGGCCAAACATGGTTTATTGTTGAATCTGGAGTATGGGTACGCAAAGGTTTCTCTACACTCAAGAATCAAAGGGAACATTTTTAAGCTTTGATGTCAAACAGCTTGGCGGGGGCTGGTTGGGGACAGTATATTGTGACAAAGTAGATGTGAACATACTTTGTAACATATTCTGAATGAATAATAACCTTGGTGGGCTTCCTATTAATTTGAGATCATTCAACCCTAGCATTTTTACTGTAAATTGACGTTATTGTAATATGGTCTAAATGAGAACAGCATACACAATCAGAAACTGTTCTTTAAGGAAATCTGGACAGAGAGATCTTGGTTTAGATTAAGACACACATTGCTCTAAGTAATTGAATGTTCAAGGATTCTTCTCCATGACAGACAAATATTAGACTGGCTGGCTTTGTTGATTGACCTTTAATTCACCTTTGTAAAACATAGTTTAAAAAGACAGTCTAGCTCATAAAAGAAAATAGTTGAGTTGTAAATCCACCAATTTGAGATTTTTCTAATGGCAATACTGATAGATCTTGACCTTAAAAAACTTCTATTATTTAAAAGGTTCTACTCTTTTGAAATAAAAGCACTGTGATATGTGGATATTTTATGATATACTTATTTCAATTGGTTTTTTGCCTTCAGTCACAGACAAAATTTTAAAAAAGAGGTTTCTCCAGTGAAATTTCAGACATGTAAGCATACTGAGAGGGAGGCATAAGGGGAAATGATAATTTGCTTTACCCATGACTCTTTTCAGATACAATGTATTCTGCCAATGCCCAGGCCTACATTCCAATGAGTCCATTTGTAGAGTCCACACTGTGGTGACCACTATCTGTCTTAAGTGGAAAACGTATGGAAGCCAATGGCTGTCTTCTCTCTTGTGAAAAGCATTCACATTAGCATACTGCACGATGGGCTGAGCCTGGCAATTGAAGGCACAGAGGGTATGTTGGTAGCATCAAAATTCCTTTAGAAACCAAAATGGGCAAACTTAAAATGTAAAACAACACATAAGAACTAGACACCTCAAGCATGTAATTGTATATTTATTTCTCTTTTTAAAGAACACTCCTTAATGTAATTCAATATACAAACTTGGTTTCACAGAATTATAATCCACTATATAGCACAAAGATAACCCAGATTGTGTGTGCATGTGTGTGTGTGTGTGTGTGTGTGTATGTGCATGCACACACAGGGGTGTGTGTGCACATGTGGTACCCTCCCTTTCTGCCATTCCTCTGGACCTACAAAGGCTCTGCCCACCTATGACACTAACCAAAGCTTACTTTGAATGTCATACACAAAAAACATCCTGCTCCCACAAGTTCTTCCCCCTGTAAAGCTTCTTTCTCCCATTCCCCCTGAGATAGCCAGAAGTGTGACACTCTTCCCCTCTTCCGAAGGGTAAAGTGGCTTCTCCTAAAGCTGATGCCAACCCTGTCACTATGTGGACTGGCTGACAGGAAGGGCCGTGAGCAGGTAGGTCTCCATGCCTCTTCCCCCCTTCCAAACCCGCTCCTCAGAGTCCAAGAGCAACCCCTCCATAGTAGCCTTAGTTCAGTCACCATCGCGTGCAGTAAGAACCAAGAAGATTTCTAAGCCCTGGTCTTCTCCATGGGCAGTGCCCAGCACTGCCTGCCAAGCCACCGGGCCGGCCGATAACCAAGCTCTACACAGTCCCATGTGCTTTGTCACTTTAGTTTTTAAAGACACCCTAGCATAGGTCTGTGGCAACCTAGTATCCAACTGAGTTACATAAAATTGTACCAGTGATGCACTTGTACGTATTTACATGGGGCGGAATGTTTTCCCATATTTTTAGATGAGTATATAGATCAACATGTTCACATAAGACCAAATACTTTTAATATTATTTATAACTGATTTATAAAGCTTTGAAAAAACTCACAATAGCACATTGTTTACTTTAATGCTTTAAGGTACTATCAGTTTAAAATCACAATCAGCACTTAAGTTATAGTCAATCCAGCAAACAAGAGACAAAAAAATTTACAAGAGTTAAGAACTGACTGATACATCCTTTATCTTTTTTTGTCACTAATGCATAAGTGCAGAATAAGATACTCTAGTTTAAATATCTTGTTTACAATATACATTTTTGTTCTAGTTATGCAACAGTAAATCCCATGCTTCACATAGAAAAGCAATCCACAACATTTAAGAAAAAATGTACAATTTATGAAACAAGGTAAATAAATATTAGTATTACAGAATCAGAGCTGTACATAAAAGCTGTTCAGTTTTAATCATATAAAAATATGTTTTAGTGCAACCTCACATATATATTGATGCTGTTTTTGCTTTACATCATTTAGATCCAAGTGTCCAAAAAAGGAAAGAAATTACATTTATTACAAAGCAGATACACAAATTCTAAAATATGTACAAATTACTGCTAAAAAATGCTTATAAGAATATAAGCAAAGTAAAGAAAAGGCACAAACATCTGTACAGTTTTAAAAGTACCAGACCCAATAGGTTAATTTCAAATTTTGTTTTGGTCAGGCTCATGATGACTTGTTAATTTACCTATTCTTTTGCTATAACAAAAGTATGTATATATATATATATATATATATAATAGCAACCTACTGTAACTCAGGACAGGCATGCTATAAACTGGATTATCTCTATCTCTAGAAAAACAAAACAAAATAAGAAAATGTGGAAATGAAAGTCTCCATGCATCTGAGATCAATGTAGCTGACTCTTTTCCAACGAAGGTTCTTTGCCTTCCTCTGTGCTTGAAGGTAATTCTTTGCTGCCGTGAAAGCCCGACTGTTTGTCATCCATGCAACTCTTGCTGTAAATTGTGGAGTGAGCTAATGCAGTCTGGGATGTACCAAAGTTGTCCTTTTCACCATCATGCAAGTCAGTGTGGGTAGCCGAGGAACAGGGCTGGCCAGGCTCAGGCCCACTAAAGTGTCTAATGCTAACATGTGCGCTTTCCAAGGGTTTCTGGTGGGGCTCCTGCACCCGTGCTAGCTGGTCTGCCCCGAGCAGAGCGGCCTCTTCTGTGGCAATCCGGAGAGAGGCAATGGCTTTTGTGCAAGTCTGTATGTTCTCCTCCTGTTCTCTCTCTGTTGCATTTAAGCTGTCTTCCGAAGTGCTCTGTTTCATCAATAGCCGAGGAGAGGAGGGCATGCTGGGTGGACCAGATGACTGCAAAAGGTGAGGAGATGGCTTCTCGTGCTGCTTGGAAATAAAGTAGGGATCCTTGGCGAAGGATTCCCCAGAAGTTCCTTTCTTCTCCTCAGAGCCCTCCATTGGCAGAGGCAATGTGGGTGGAGGATGTAAACCAGAGAGGGCCGGCGGCAGGGAGTGAACCATTTGGATCCCACCAACGGGCACCATGGGGATAGGAGCTCGTACTTGCTGCTGAGAGTGGAGTGGAAGATGACTGAAGACGTAGTCATTAGGTCCCTCAGGGAAGAGGCTGGAGCCCGGATGTTCATAAGCACCTTCTTGGTCTCCATAGAGACTGAAGTAAGGAACCTGAGGTAATCCCCTTCTTAGATTCTGCATTGAGAACAGAGAGCACAACAGTTAGGACCCACTGTTCTTCATGCTTACATCAAGCTTTTTCATTCATTCATGCTTTCACTGGTTCATTCAAAACACTTTAAAACTACCTGATCCTTCAATTAATTTTTCATTTTCAATACAAAAGAGATATCTCAGTTGTCTTTTAAAATCCTTGAGTGAAGCTGCCCTTCTTTGAAAAGTTACTTTATAAACAGCAATGTGATAAAATATGCCTGTGTTTTATATGAGGTAAAGAGACAAGAATGAAAAGGAAATAATGGAAAATTACTAGAAAAAGTTTTCCAATCAAAAAAGACACTAATATATTTTTAAATTCAAAAGAAATTAAAAACATTACCATCCATTTATACTAAGTAGAATTTTACTATTTTTATGAAGTGTTAATAAGTATAATCAAAGTAACAAGCCTGAAAATTTGTATTAAAAAATGTTTACCAAGTAGATGGCAAAATGGTGGTGATACACAAACTGGTTGCTCCAAAGTGCAAGTTATTAGTCTAATAAAATAGATTCCTGCTCAAGAGACACTCCAGGTAGATGACCAGAGTCTTCACCAAATCAAGGGCAGGTTTTATAAGGAAACTATCAATACATCAGATAAGCTGGTAACACTAAATTCTTGGGGTGGTTACAGCTCTTACTCTACTACACAGGTGGGAACTAAAGACAACTGTGTCTTAAATCATCTGTTTATATTATTACTTCCATTTACATATCTTTTCATAAATTAATGAATTAAAGATACTTAAAATTTTTGGCCAGAATTCCAGATTTCATGATTTCCAGCCCCGAAAATGGAAAACTTATTTTCTATAAATGTTTCTGTAGCAAAATACAATTTAGACTGTGAGATTATTAGGTTTTAATGAGATTATGTGGTTTTAATGCCTTAGATTCATTCTTTTAATGGATTATCATCAGTTTATTGTTATTTTTTGAGAACTTAAAATCAACTCTAGATAAACATGTCAAGTATGGTAGTAATCCAGGAGACAGACAAAAAAAAAATGTTCTCATTCATTTCATGAATGTTTCAGTTCTAAAACTCAAGGTATGCTTTATACCATTAATGATTCATCCAGTTCTATTTAGATTGTGAGACCGGCTCAGGAATGATAAATTATGCATTATCTCTGCTACTCTGTGCCATACTTGGCCTTAACCCTACTCCAGGCTCCAACTTATTTAAGCTAGAAACAAATTATTTGTCCTGGAATTGCAGGAGAAATCATGTAATCATCAACCCTTTAATCACAAGGGCCTAATAAGTTAGATAAGGAGAGAATTTTATGGTATGAGAGAGTCATTATATGCTATCAGAAAAATCCTACTTGTATTTGCTTTGGTTTAAAAAAGGACACATTTAATCATTGAAAATAATCAAATGAATCTTCAAGTCACAGTTGTTACAGATCCAAAGTTTAAGATGAAATGTGGTTTGCTTATTTTTCCATTTTACTTTGGGTTGCTATTTTGTGATGGCCATTGCATACCCCTAATATGAATGGGGTCTGGGAGGGAGCCTGAGAGACAGAACTCCCGTTGCAAGAGGTCTCTCACTCAAGGCTCTTGAAGGGAATGAAGAAATTGTAAAACTAAAATTTATTAATTATATTCAAATTCCAACAAAGCTGTATTTGTGTTAAGAATAAAAGTGTCACATTTAGACCTTTACTGATCAGAAAATCAATGATTACAACCATAAAAGTTAGCACACAAGCAGAATTCCTATCCGGTAACCACACATCCTCTCTCCATCTATTCATCCCTTCTTCATCCTTCTAATAAATTCTCAATAAGATGTATCTACTTCAGTTTTTACTCTATTTGCAACCCTATTGTGTTCTGTAATTTATGCTTTATAGTTGTGATATGTGAACAAACTCACAACTTATTTAAATCTCAGTAAGAGAAATCTTGATGTGGAAATGCAAATAATGAATTCATATGTGGGTTGTGTTATATATATCTCCCATGTACCAGATATATTACCCCACTCATCTTTTCAACAGTGTCAGTAGGCCCTCTGGAAGCAAATGTTAAGAAGGAAGGATTTCAAGAGCTTTCACTGGTTGGTGTATATGGAGCTGGGGACAGGAGCAGAGGAGCTAATGCCTGGGAAGGTAATGGGGAAAGGAAGCAAGTGCTCAGCTCAGCTGTGACCCATCTGGGCTCAGGCAGTGGCTGAAGGTTGCAGAACAAAGCATGGCCTTGGCTTAAAAACTGAGGTGTACCCTGAAGGAGCTAACAGCAGGAAGTTTTCAGCTGACTACATTCCTTACAGCTGAATGGCAAGTTCTTTCCAGGACCAAAATCTGCTTGGATCACCTCTCTGGCAACCACAATTAGAAAACTATGATTGAGAGGTTAAGTGATTTGCCCAAGATCACAGAGATAGCAAAGGAAAGAACTGAATGTGGACTCTTTCACTGGACGCAGTGTTCATCTACACCAGTAGTTGGCAAACAGCGGCTCGAGAGCCACATATGGCTCTTTGGCCCCTTGAGTGTGGCTCTTCCACAAAATACCATGGCCTGGGTGAGCCCATTTTGAAGAAGTGGCATTAAAAGTTTAATTTTTAAAAATCTGACTCTCAAAATAAATTTCACTCCTTGTACTGTTGATATTTGGCTCTGTTGACTAATGAGTTTGGCGACCACTGACCTACACTATGTACTGAGGACCAAGACACTCTTTTGTCTCCTTGCTATTGATCTACCAAATCTCTAAAAATGGAAAAGATGAGGACAGAAACCTCAAAAATTTCACCCAAATCCTTGCACCTCATATAGTAGACTTTTAAGAAATATTTACTAACTGGAAAAAAAAGACCTTCTTATTCTATATATCTATGTATCTGTCTGTCTGTCTATCAACCTATTTATCTAGTCATCCATTCATCCTAAAATTGAAACTAACCAGGAGGCATTATGTCAGAAACACCAGGGTTCCAGTGATTGCATATCATCTCCTCCAAACCTTCTCCGTGACTAAGATTAACAATGAGTATAACATGCTGGGCTACAAGGTCCTTTCACTCCACAGTCACTGTCTTGTGAGCCCTTGGTCAGGGTCAAGTAAGCAAACAAGGTATTGCTAATAGCATTTCCATAAAAACAAACAAACAAACAAAAACACTATTTCAGGGGTAATTCAATTAAATATTTTCAAACATTATTCAGAAGGATGACGTACTTATAAAGTACAGCAATCAGGAGAAATACTTCTCATAGCATTGCCAATTTTATTTTGTCTGGCAACAAGAAGCTCATGTATACATCACAGAAAGATGCAAATCCTCTTTGCCCCTCAAAAACTGTGTGAGAAAGCATAAAGTGTTTGGGATCAAATGCTTCTGCTTCAGGGAGGATTTCCAGATCTGTTCCATCATATCATGTGACCAAAGAAGCAGGCTATTAATTCTCTCAAGATAATTACACTGGGTAATAGACCGGAAGGCTCAGCACTTGGGCTTCGTAAATGGCAAAGTTTAATAATTCTTTTAAATATCCAAGTGAATTGGGCATATATGCAAAAGTTAGGTGAACTCCCTTAGCCTACTTCTCCAATTCTTTTGCCTGAGTTGATTGTGAGTGTTATTATTTTTTTAATAACAATACTGTGTTGGCACTAATGGTTTATTTTGTTGTTGTTGTTAATCCTCATTTGAGGATATTTTTATGTTGACATTTTAGAGAGAGTGGAAGGGAGGGGGAGAGACACACAGAGAGAAAAACATTGATATGAGAGAGACACATCTATTGGTTGTGCCTCAATCAGGGCTGGGGATCAAGCCTACAATTGAGGTACAAGCCCTTGACCGGAATCGAACCTGAGACCCTTCAGTCCGAGGGCTTTACCCACTGAGCTAAACCCACATGAGCAAGGCTTATTTTTTGTGTGACTACAATTGACTGAATATACTTCAACATCTTACTAATACCACAGTCTCAGAACAGGAGAGCCACATCTCACACAAACCATCAGCATCACTGGGTCTAAACAAGAGAAAGCATTTTACACCCAGATGCAGTGTCCTAGCACCTTAAGGCTTTATCACTCTTCATTTATGCTGCAATAGCATTAACTTCAGATTTTTCTTTTCTACTTAACACCACCAAGACACAAACACTAGTGCAAATGTACCTCTTTTTTTTTTTTTTTTTTTTTTTTTTTTTTTCTTAGCTACCTACTTTATTAGCTTGGCAAATACATCCCATCCTGTTTGCTATACAATAGTTACAGCTTGAAAACTAAGTTGATGGCAGGCCTGTGAAAACAGGATGCTGATGGCAGGGGGCTAAAAAGTAACACCAAGGAGCTTTCCTAAAGTTGAAAAATTCAACAACCTAAGCTTATGATTCAGGTTGGTGAAAAGGTAGTAAGAGGGAGGCAGCTGGCCACCAGGGCAGTGAGAAGACAGGACTGGGAGCTAGCAAGGCTTCCTTTGGCTATGAAGGGCAGGGTTGAGCCTCATGACAGAAATTCAGAGCAAAGAGAGAACAGCAAAGAATAGAGACTGCAAAACAACAACAAAATACATTGAAAGCAAATAAATTCAAGAGGTCGCATTCATCTGTTTATGCTAAGTAGCTCCTTCATTCATTTTCAAAATCCTACACAAACTGAAAGCAACATCAAGGTCTTCCCTGCCATGGAATGAGGCAGGGCGAGTGCTTTTCAATGCATTTGCATTAAACCTCCTGCCTAAATTTAATTCATGATTGTACTATTGTTCTCTTAATTTACACCGAGGGCATATCATAGAAATCTCCTCTGATACTTTCTCTATGCTCTCCCAAATTCCCACTCTCTTCGGGCCCCCATCTCATTAAGCCCCCATCTCATCCGGTTAGCAGGAGATGAAAATAATGGTAAAACACACACATATGTGTTGATGCCTTTGACTTATAAACATTTAAGAGGGGAACATTAATAAGCGGGGATCATTCTCTCTTCTCCCAGTCCCTCATTAGTGTCACATGTTCACTCATTGTGAACAAGGTCATGCTTAAGGTATTGAGTTTATTTTTCAAAAAGTTATTGAAAGTCAAGACTAATACCAAAATCAGAATCCTCACATAGCAAAGAGTTATATAACTAAGACAGCTAAATACCCCTGAGAGTGTCTGTCTAAGCATTCATGACACTCCAAAGACTTTATCTTTTCTATTCATGTCGAAGTTTCGGCTCATGTTTATAATTAGTTAAGCTTAGAAAGCATTCAGGAAGGCCTCACCTGTTCCCAGCTGGAATGCACCACTGCTCTGATGCAATACTACTACACTTGGGGTAGTGCCACAGCCACGTTACTGACAATAGCTTGTGATAAAAATGTCTTCCTACTATTTTCAGTAACCGAGTTCACTCCTCCCCAGGAGAGAGACTCATGTTATAAATTCCACACTAGTGCATTATCAAGAGGTTCTCATGCGCCATGACTTACTTATTAAAAGGAGAAAGCTACTCATACTCACAGGAGGCCCCAATACGATTGGATCTGCTTGCAAATACTGCCCCATGGACAATGGTGGGTTGTGGTAAAAAGCCCTTCTGGGAGATGGTGCTCTGATGGAGGTCATGTATCTTCTCTCTCTTCTGGGAGATAGGTCTCTTCTTGCTGCGATATCTTTCCCCGGTGACAATGGCCTCCTTGGAGACAGATGTCTTCTTGGTGAAACATCTCTTTGTGACATTTCTCTTCTCAATGCAGCCTCCTTTCTTGGTGAAAGATGTCTCATGGGTGATAAATCTCTCCTAGGTGATAAGTGTCTTCTGGGTGATAAATCTCCTTTGGGTATCAGATACCTCTTTGGTGAATTATCTCGACAGGGTGAAGAATCATATCCCGGTGAGGAATGGTGGCTTGAGGGAGAGAAGTCCCTTGGAGAGGAGCTGGGCTCTGAAGACAGCATGCACTCTTCATCCATGCAACTGGGTATGTCTAACCTGTCTTTGTCTGGTTCCGAGTCTGTACTTTTGCTCTGGAATAACCTCTGGTATTCTGTCATCTGGGTATCTTCACATGAGTCACTTGGTGTCATAAGCTGAGTAACCTGAATACTTGGCAAAGTAACCAAATAGCTGATCAATGAAGAATGTCCCAGGGAACTATCAGAGGGAACCCCATGGGGTATGGCGCCAACATTCACAGGCAAAGAGGAGAATCTAGGAGGCTGAGGACTGGTGCTTCTTGATCTGGTTTTTGGTGTCAAATCTCCCTGGTCATCAAAGTCATCATCATCTTCATCATCATCATCATTATCATCTGCATCCTCACCATCCGATTCTTCAGCATCGGAGAACTGATGATCAGTTGAAATGCTATGCTTTTCAGCCGCTTTGTGCAAATCTTCCATAGTTTCTGAAACAATTGAACAGAAGATAGTGGAGTTCCAGATCCAAACATCAAGATTAGGAGCTAACAGGCCCCATCTCTTCCCAAAAGCTTTCCTCAACCCTCCGACCCCTACAGATAGTTTTCATCTCTGAACTCCTGCCACTCACTGGATACATCTCTCTGTAAGCCTGCATTGGTTCTTATCTTTTATGTACCTGTCCTATTTCAACCCACCTTACAATAAAAACTCCAGAGTAAAACCTTATATTTTAGATATCACACCACCCATAGAAAATAATCAACAAATATGTATGCAATGTTGTAAATGATGTTAGAAAAAATAAATAAAAGGAACAACCTGTCTCTATAGGTATAAGCTTGTGTGTAAGGAGAGTATCTTAGGAGGCTTGGCTGAGCCTCAGGTTTTCTATTGAGGTTAATGATGTGTTGTTGTTTTTTCTATTGTATTTCCTCTTAAGAGGACAAATAAGATATTAAGATGCTTTTCAAATTTCCCAGAAAGTTTTATAAAATGCACATCCCTAACACAACAAAAGTGCAGCTGGATTTCCTTTATGGTTCTAGATAGAAATATTTTCTTGGTAAGACCTCTCTCCCTTTCTACTTATGAACTGAAATGCATTTGCTTCTTCTCAGTAGGTTTCAAGCAATTCAATATAATAGACTTCTTTTCTATATTTAGTATATAATAAAATAAAATGTGATTTTTTTTTTAAAGAAAACATCTAAACTTATTTTTACCACTGGCCACAAAGCTGAAGCATATGTAGTGAAACAGTTCACCAGCTAAATGATAGATACCTGTTTCCTCGGTTTCTGTATCATCCACTGAAGTCATCGAGACACCTAACTCCAGGCATTTTTTCATGTGCGCTTTAGATTTCATATGCTTTGTCAGGTTTCCTAGAAAACACAAATGATAAAATAATTAATCTGTTACCAAAATGTGATGATTGCTCCAAAAGTCACTTGAGATGATAGGAATTTGTTTCTACCCATGATCCCTTCCTTCAATCAGAACAGGGACAATCCGGTTTGTGAAGATAGTAAGCCCTGAGGGCTGTGGCTCAATCTTAGGTTTTCTTCATTCTAGAAGACATGTTGGCACCTAAAACCACATCTTTTCAAGGGTAGGCTCCAAGCAGGACTTGGAATCCCAAGCTTTCCTGACTGAGAAGGGATCTTATATCTTTGGCCCAAATGGGTCAGCCTCCTAATTCTATAAAATAAAGAGCTAATATGCAAATGGTCATCACCCCATCATGCTATAACGACCAGTCAGCAGGACCTGAGGCTGTGTGGTGCCTGGCTAGGCTGGGGAACTACATCCGGCAGAGCTTGAGGTGGGACCTCATGCCATGCCCTCTGCTTGGTGGAGCTTGATGGGGCCCCTCAGGCCATGTGCCCCTCCTTCCTGGTGCCAGTCCTTGGGACCTGAGGCTGCATCCTGTGCCCAGTGGGACTTAATGGAGATGTGGCCAGCCAGGTCTGGGTCTCCTGCAATTTTTTTTAAAATATATTTTATTGATTTTGTACAGATAGGAAGGGAGAGAGATAGAGAGTTAGAAATATCGATGAGAGATAGTCATCGATCAGCTGCCTCTTGCACACCCCCTACTGGGAATATGCCTGCAACCAAGGTACATGCCCTTGACTGGAATCAAACCCGGGACCCTTCAATCCCCAAGCCGACACTCTATCCATTGAGCCAAACCGGTTTCGGCTGGGTCTCCTGCAATTTTAAGGTGCACATAGGTGGGCGGGGACTTGACTCTGGGTCTTGCAGAGAACCCCAGGCTCTGACAAGAAGGAAGTTTTCATATACATTTTACTAATTTTCTTCAATCTCTGACACTTCTATTATAGAGAAAGGGCAAATAGCAATATTAAAATATTTCTTCTAATTAATTCCCTTTTAATGTGCACAAATTTCATGCACCGGGCCACTAGTACTCCATAAAAAGCCAAACTGTGTCACAATCTCAGAGTAACTTTGCAATTAAATATTATCAACACAGCCACTTCCTGGCACTGATCTAATATAGATTAGACTCACAGGATCTTAACTAGTCAGAAGAAAAAACAAATCCAAACTAACGTTAGAGGCAAGCCTGAAATGAATTCAAAGAACAATATGAATATTTAGCTAACTCCTTATAGGGAATTATATTCTCAGTATTAATTATCTATCTGGTTGACATATGTTGGCACCTAAAACCACATCTTTTCAAGGGTAGGCTCCAAGCAGGACTTGGAATCCCAAGCTTTCCTGACTGAGAAGGGATCTTATATCTTTGGCCCAAATGGGTCAGCCTCCTAATTCTATAAAATAGAATGACCCATTTGGGCCAAAGATATAAGAAGAAACTGGGGCAGTAATACTGCCTTTTTACTTATCTTGAAACTCCGATTATTCCATGAAAAAAGAAAAAATTTTATGTCATATACAGTATGTATGATGACATAGAGATACATAATTATATATATATATACACACATGTGTATGTAAGTTTCTGTAGATTTATGTAATTGCTATATGTAATGTGAGAAATTATGAAAACACTGATCTAATCAATTTTGACTTAGGATCTATGAAAAAAATATATATATACTGTTCCATGTCATATATAGCTTATCAAAAGAGATCCAAAAGTTAATTGTTGTAAAAGCCATAATATTGTCTAAGCCCTTTGATGCTGTAAGTACCTTAATTTAAAGAATAGGCTCATTGAATCCAGGTAGAAACCTTCAGCCTGCTGAGATAGTTTGTTCCCCTTGTAAAGGGTGTTTAGTTTGCTATTAATGTAATATATGAGTCACAATTCTAAACTAGGACACTGTTGTTTATTATTTTACTTATATTATTACAATTTCTTTAAAAAGCTCAAACATTTTTGTAGACAAATCATCGAGAACTCTAAAATCTGAAAATTGATTAAATATAAGTATAAATTAATAGAAACCATCTTCTTCTGCAAGGGAGCTAGGAATCTTGTATGTGGATGGGTGTGAATGTTAAATGAGCCAAGATTATTTATTTTGATCTTAATATGTGTTTCTTCTTCTGTCTTTTTCTTTTCACTTGTTTCAAGCAGGTGGTGAAGCTTTGAGCCTTCGTCTTTAGGGAAGGTGTGTTGTTAGAAATCTGGCTCTAAAACAACAACACCCTGGCTTTGGTTTATGGGATTCTTGAACTTCTGAAGGGCTTGGAGCAAGAAGAGGGGAGCTAAGTAGTAGGGGGCGGGCAGTGAAGGAGTGGCCGACCTGAAGGAAGTACTGGTCCTATGAATGTGCTCCTGATCTGAGCTCAGGTGTCTGGGGTTTGGGTAACAGGATCTCAGCTGGAGGTGAAAACTGGAGGGGATTCCCAGAATTTTTTGCTCATTTTAAAATTCTGAGAAATTTTCACATTTCCAAAGAGGCATAGTAAACTAAAATAATGCCAAGAATAAGTTATTTCCTTCTAAACTCCAAGACAATGGTTCAAAGCGAAATTTAATTTGATTTTAAAAATATCTTTAAAATGTTTCTTCCCCGTGTTGCACACAGCTCTACCTGCAGACAAATCATATGTCCAGTAAAGATATATTGGTTGTAATGACTGGCAGATTTGCAGTATATTTTAAAACTAAAGTTTATATTTTCTTATCTCCCAGGAAGTCTCTTAATGAAATTCTATATGAAAGTCTTAACTGTGCAAAGGTGAATGATATTTAAAGGACATTTTGTATATTTCTTTTGAAATGCAAATGAACATTCTCTTCCCCCTTTTCTGGCTTGTTAATAAAGAAAAAGCAGGTATATGGAGAGGCTACACATTTATACTTCTGACAAACCATTGGAACAATTTAGGATTTTAACTATAAAAGAAAATAAGTACATATTTCTCTAGCAAAGACTGAATTTTCTCTGATATTTACTTTTCTTGATGTGGACTAGAGTAGATCAACTGGAATACAAATTTAAAGTTAAAACTTTGGAAAATGATATGAGGCTTCTGAAGGGTGAGGGGTGTCTAGAGGATCCATTAGTACTTCTACAAAAACAGTAAAAAAAAACACTTCTACAAAAGTCAATCCACCTCTAGTTCACTATTGTTTGTATTCTGAGAACCCTGGGTTTATGAACACTTTCATGATTCTATAAAATAATAGAAACATAATCAAAGCAACCTTCTCCTGTAAAATACTTTCATATGAAACTACCTGTTTAAAAAAGATTTAGAGCCGAAGCCGGTTTGGCTCAGTGGATAGAGCATCAGCCTGCGGACTGAAAGATCCCGGGTTCGATTCTGGTCAAGGGAATGTACCTTGGTTGCGGGCACATCCCCAGTGGGGGATGTGCTGGAGGCAGCTGGTCGATGTTTCTCTCTCATCGGTGTTTCTAACTCTCTATCCTTCTCCCTTCCTTTCTGTAAAAAGTCAATAAAGTATATATATATTTTAAAAACAGATTTAGAAAATACACAGAATATCTTTTCAAGGCAAGTCCTAGTTATGGCCTGAGAATAGGAAATTGTCTCTGTGATGATAAATACAGATCTCAAGCTATAAAATGCCTATGCATAATTAATGCTACTGTGGATGGAGGGGCCCACCTGGGAATCTGTGGATTTCTACATTATTTATATCTTGAAACTGACCACGGGCACATATTCTCCCCCCTTCCCCCCCAGCTGCTGCTTTGCTATCCTAATGCTACTGCATGATCTCCCTATAGTATTTCAATACTGCTGCAAAGATTATTTAGATCACATAACAATTTCCAACATGAAGTAATAGCTATCCAGGCAATTCTGAGCCACTTCCTTCAGAGACAACTGGCCTGGGCCCAACTCTATATGGCTCTTAAGTCGTAAAAGGAGCCTCATTGTCTCATATACATCCTTTAATCACTTACATGAGGGAGGAAACACATGGGGTCATATTTTCACAAACAAAATCTATCATTTTGTCGATAAAATGGGATCTGGAATCCAAGGTAGCCATAAAATAGTGATTCTCCTCTAAAAAAAAAAAAATCAGACCCGTACCTTTCGTCTTGAAGGCGAAGTTACATAACTTGCACACATAAGGCCGGACATCAGTATGAGTGCGGATATGCTTTTTGAGCATGCTTGGTTTCTTGCAGCGAATCCCACATTCTTCACAGATGTACTTCCCACGTCCACGTCCTCTGACATATACATAATCTTCATTTGACTTATACCTGTTTAAAAAGGGGGAATCCAGTGTGTTTTCAAATACTTTAGCACGTGATATATATAATCAAACCCAAAACTAATCATCTGCATGGCAAATTTTGTGAGGGGCTTTTATAATTATTCAACCTTATTGCTGAGACCTATAAAATTTATGCAGTAAATGCCTGAAAGAGTTAGATAATAGATTTGATATTGTAAACAAAATGGACTTTCTTCTTCATTTAGTTCAACATGGAATTTGCTCTTTTCTATTAAGTATAATATATAGACTTGTTACAGACTATCAACTGGGCTTATAAAGCCCCAAAGAGTTGCAGAGCTGTGCCTTACTAATGTTGGATTCTTCCAAACAAGAACTTCCAAACAAGAATCATCCAAAAAGTTCTCCCAACATATTCAAATAATCATATATCATTTAGTAATATTACATCATCTAATATGTGCATGCACAACACATATACCCCTCCAAATTTGCTAAAATTAATGTAACTGATAATAGACTTCTTCTTTGCAAGTTTCTACTCTATTTTTATAATCCTGGCACGAGAGTGTGTTGGAAATTTCTAGCTTACACAGGCTGAGCTGAGCTCACCAACTGTTGTCTACAGATTTCATCTGCTCTTCCCAAGGACTGAGAATCTGTATACAAATGGAGTCTAAATTTCAAGTGGCTTCTGGGAGATACTGTTACATAATGAAAACTAAAGATTCAATTTTTCAATCAAATTTGCATTGGTGTCCAGGAGGATTTAGTTGAGAGGTTTAAAAGGATGTCTAATTAAATTAGTTAGATGAATAAAGTTGTAGGTATTTACTGTGATAATCTACAGAAGAAACCTATCCAGTGCTCAAACATCATACAAAGAAACATAATCTGCCATAGAGGATAGTGACATTCTATTGAATAAATCAGTGAACAGTGAATATTATTATTTCCTTATTCTCTCATAAATCACAGTGAGGCTAGAATTATGGGTCTAAATGTCATTCTTGGAAAGATATTCCTTCTGAAGTGTATTATTTATAACTTCAAAAGGTAAATTGACATACAAAATGCCCTATTCATTGGGTATTAACTTAAAGGCGCTAGATTTCTAATTTCTACATTCCCAGAGCACTGTAAACTTCTCTATTTGTCCCAGCTAATCCATCATCAGGAATAATGATTCAACCTCATTCATCCAATGCACTGAGGAATTTTTAAGAAAGAAAAATCCACACACGTATTAAATACCAGATCTGCTATAGATAGTGTTTAATCTTAACATGATCTACTTTTTGGTTAGTACCAATCCAGATGAGATTTAAAAATGAATAGTTAATTTTGCATGCTTTCTGCTCCTTTAAATCTGTCCTCTTTTACAAAAAAAAAAAAAAAAAAAAAAAAATCCAATATCAACTTGTTCAAAATTGTTTTAGGCTTTATCTTTTATCTAACATTGTGTTTTGTCATAAAGTAGAAAAGAACCTACAGATGCAAAATATCTTTTGCCTATTAATTTCACTATTCTCTCCCACTAACTAGATGAAATTATCTAAGGAGTACAGAATAAAAGAATTTCATGGAAAGCTAATTTTCTTTGGAGAAGGATACTTTAAACTTATTGTAGCCCATCATCACAGTTTATTAGAATACATTTTTTCTTCAAATAATATAATTTAATTTTTAATGTTTTAACTAATTAAGTTGATTCCAGAATGGAAATATAGTAAAGTTCTGTATAAACATAATTCTATATTAGAAAAATCTATACAAATAAAGTATCTACCAACCTACCATTCTGCACACCCATGAATCTACTTGATGTGAGAATAGATTTTTGAAAAAAATAAACGATATGTTTAATTTAATTCTAAATCTATAAATTCGATTAAAAAACCACACATACCCTTAAACAACTGGTCAGTAATACCTTTTTTTTTTTTTTTTTTTTAAATAAGAGTTGGTACTACACTGCTTGGAATGAACCTGGTTTCTACCAAGCAGACATTGGACCATAGATTAAGGAATGATTAGGACTTAGCCTATAACATGGGGCAATGAAAGGAGGAAGAAATGAAATACGGGCACAATCCTTTTGGGTCATCAAAACACAGCAATAAAATGTTCACATACGCTTTTTCATTCGTGTCCTTCGTTAGTGGAGATGGGCTCACCAAAGCACACAGTAACTGTGAAGGTCTCTCTAATCTAGAACAAGTGCACTGCTATGAAGACTGCTGAATGTAAGAGGGTTGATTCAGTCACAGGGACCTCTCAGTCTCTGAGGAAAGATAAAACCTATGTTTCTCTCGTTTGTATCAAAAGATGAGGGATGTCAAAAAATAGTGAGACAAGCGTCATGACTATATATGCAACTATGGTTTTAGTGAAAGTACTCGACATCCATCAAAAGAAGGCCAAACCTAAGAGGGAATCAATTTTAATCATCCATCTCCAAATTGGTAATCTATGTAAGAAATCAATATTTCATTTCACTAAACAGTCATTGCATAGTCAAACAGATCACATTAATTTGTCCTGTAAATATTATTGGAATAAATTGATGCACATGAAAATATGTAAGGTATAGCTCTGTTGTACAGATAAGGTGCTGGTTACATCATAATCTCCTACATGTGGTTAACGTGCTTTTAATATTTTAAAAATTTTGAAAGCAAAAATCTGGGTTTTCTCCCATTGACTGGATCAAAGATACATTTCCATCGAAATCTAAAACTAGACGTTACACAGATGTGTAATTTTTCTTAACTATACAGATAACAAAGTCATTGGGCCTTATAACTCATGTTTCTGCCACTCAGAATGTAACATTTAAAAATAAATTCCTAAAGCAGAAAACTGTCACAGACCAGAGGAGTTTGGGGAAGCATGACAGCTTCCCTGGCTTGGATCCTGGAGCAGAAAGAGGACATTGTGGAACTGGTGAAATCCCATTGAGGTTTAGAGTGTAGGTAATAAAAGCAATAAAACAAACAAGTAAGTTAACTGGTGCCTAGGATTATACGTAAGTGTGCACGACTGCATTTCTGTAAGCATAGAATAAAAATATGTTCTCTAATAGCACAACAAATGCCCATAAAAAATAATATAGAAGAATACAACTTTGAAGATTCCACCAACTTGGTCGATTTCATACTAAATTAGAGGCATAAAGATTTAAAACAGAGGTTCAAACCACATACAACAGGGACATGTTCATCAAAAGCAAGTCATGAAAGCAAGGACATGAACTCATTATCTACTACCAGCCAGGCTTCAGAAATGTCAATAGAAAAGGAATTTGCTTTTCCCTTCCAACCCGCTTAGATACCACTTTTCCCATGCAGGCACTCAGGACTGTACCCTCTGACTTAAACCTGAATCTTTTCCTTTTGCACTTATGTTTCCTTACCCTCCTTCAAAGATTTTTATTCGGATTGGCTCAGCTTGTTTGGATCCGATATCTTTATCTCCGTGAATATCTCCTTTCCCTCTTTCCTTTAAGATATTTCCCACTAGTTTCCTTTCTAGTTTGCTGCCAAATAAAAAGGACGCATCAGGCTTCATCTGTAGGACAAGAAGAGAGAATCATTTCATATGCTTTCTCTAAGACAAAGGGGAAGCCCACATTCTCTGCTCTTCTTCGATCTCCAAAAGTTAGCCTCAATTCCACACTAAAAAGCCAAGGGCTGGTTACATAAAATAAGGGATAAAATCAGAAAAGAATGACACTGTCTTCTGAATAAATTTAACATTTTGTTTAAAAAGAATATGCCTTGCCTGGCCAGTGTTGCTCAATGGTTGAACATTGACCTATGAACCAGGAGGTCATGGTTCAATTCCTGGTCATGGCTCATGCCTAGGTTGTGGCTCCATTCCTAATAGGGGGTGTGAAGGAGGCACTGGATCAATGATTCTGTCTCATCATTTATGTTTCTATCTCTCTCTTCTTCCTCTCTGAAATCAATAAAAATATATTTTTAAAAAACACTCCTATAGTACTTATACTGTGGAACACTAAGAAAAACTTTAAAAACAATTTTATATTCTGAAGTAGCAATTAAAGCTTTCTTTATTAATTAAGGAAATATTTTCAAAACTTAATGAAGGGAAATGGTAACTGAAATAAGTAAAATAATTTAAACCCCTCATGTACTTCTTTAATAACTTAGCATTAAATTCCCAAATGTCTCTTGCTAACATTTTTAAAAATAATTTCACATGTAAGGCATTCATTGTTCATTTTTGGAACAAACCAGCTAGTCACTTGGGAAAATGAGATTTGAGAGACACACATAGAAAAGAAATTTTAGTAAAAAAATACTGTCAATGGGAACTAGCGCTCTGAAATTTGCAAAGTTCAATTCTGAAATCCTGTCCATCTGCTGCTTGATCGTCCCTTCCACTCCCTGCTCTATGTCCCCATTTCACAATTTCCTGAATTCCTTGCATGAAAAGAAAATTAAACCTGCTAGGTCATGAACACAGGTCAGAAGGGAGAAGAACCCAAAGGAATCAGTCTCAGAGGTAGAATTTCCTGGCACTTGGGTGGAGGGGATATTTGTGGTTTGGACTTTTCTGGGGACACTTATAACAGAGCTCATGTCAATGGCTTCTCTTACCCAGGGGCAAGCCTAATGCTGCGCAGGCCTCCCTCAACTCAAACCTTCATCTTATTCGAAATTTTTAGAATGCCCTTCACTATGCATTCTGCCCAGCAATCAAATCCACAACACAGAATGCTTTCAGAACAGCATCCATTACCTGAGCGAACTGCTTCCAAGCACTGGATGACGTGAGCTTGCCGGTTCCGGGCCTGTGCATAGCAGCCAGGGTATAAATTTCTGCGGTGATTTTTTGTTTGGACCTCAGAAGAGCCAGCGTGGTCTTGGTGTTCAATCCTGATGGGTTTGGGTTACAGGAACTAATGCACCATGAAGCATAAACCGAGGATTTGAAGGTGGCCTGTTGCACATAATTGGGTTTTGTATAATTCAAGAAGCACCAACTCACAGTCGTTGTTGTCCGCAGACTGGGGAACTGAAGAATCTGCTGGAAATCTGCCACATCGGTGAAGAGAAGTGTCGAGTTTGCTACTTTCCTGCTTGGGCCGGAGGCCATGTGGACCAGCATGCCAACGGGTAGCTTCTGGCCCGTTCCCTGCTCTTCCAGCTGACTGTCTCTCGGCGGCAATGAAAAGCTCTGTGGGCTCAAGCTCATATCAGAGGCTGTCTCATCAATATCTAATTCATCTGAGGACTCTTTGCTCTCGGAAGGCCCACTGGACTTCTGCGAGAGAGAGGGTGCCCTGGAGCTGGGAGGGAACGGCTCCCTCAAGGGCGCGCTGGCCGAGGGATGGTCTTGAGATGAGGAGGGGGACAGGGAGGAGAAGGAAGATGACCTTGACTGCAAGCCGTCCTTTGGCTCGGAAGCACAGCCTTGTCGGACCAGCTGGGGTTTCTGCGGGCGGGAGAGATCCTTTTTGATATCGGAGTTGGTGAGCTCCACAGCACTGAGCTCCTCCACAATCTGTCCGTACATCTTCTCTTCCTTGACCCTTTTCTGCTGCTTCGTTTCCATGAAGAGCTCTAAGCTGCTGGCTGGTGAGAGCATCCGCTTGCTACCTCCCAGGGAGGCCGCACTGTCCGAGGTGGAAGGTAAGCACAAGGGAATGGAGGATTCTAAGCCGAGAGGTAAGGTCTGAGGTACTTTCCAGATGGGGTATTTTTCCAAGCCTGCATGCTGCCCCAACACCTGGGTGATGTTAAACCCTATCCCTTGCATGGCCGCATTGGTTACCAGTGTCCTTTGGGTCATGTTCTCGTCGACTTTGCATATGACAATCGCAGGGCTGTTCTGCCCGAGAATCTGAGAGATGCTTGTGTACATGACACTCCCGTAGGACGGAACGTGGGTCTGGATCCTCACAGGAACCACTGTTCCCGGTAAGGACTGCAAAGGCCCAGCGGTGGCCGAAGTGAAATCTTCTGGAAGAACCTGCTCGGAGGGAGTATCCATTGACTTGGCGCTCTGGTTGGAAGGAAACTTTGGAAGAAGGCTCTTTGAGTGTAGGCCCGACGTTCCTGAATAACACGGGTAAGCTTGCTCTTTTGTGTGCGCATAATCGGCAGCTTTCTTTCCCGTGTGCTCTGCAGCATACTCCAGGGGGTAGCTGGGATGGATTTCTGCCTGGAAAGGAGGCTTGCCATAGCCCTTCTGAGGGTGTGGCGCGAGGGGAGGTGGGAAATGGGTCTGCCACCAAGGAGGTTGCTGAGCGGGCAAGTGGACCATGCAGACGGTTGGATACTGGAACTGAAACAAGGCGTTCTGGATGGGGGAAAAGGGAATCGTCTCTTGGTGTGGGAACAAGGGCGGCTGCTCTGACAAGTGCTTGCTCGCCAGATAGGACGCAGGTTGCAGCAAGGGATTCCTCAGGGCTTCCTGGCTGTCCATGTGCAGGATCTGTGGCGGGGCCAGGTGCAGGGGCCCTGAGCTCAGCTGGGCACAAGGACCCACCAGCTGCTTCCCTGGGTCCTCTGCCTGGAGAGGGGGCAGCAGGGAGGAGGACGGGGCGAGGTGCCACGTGGACCTCAGGCCTGCGGCGGCGTGCAGGTGCTCCAGCTGCTCCTGCTTCACGCCCGGGTCCGAGCCGGCCTCGCCCTGGGCGATCTCGGGAGAGCCGCTGAAGGACGCCTGCCGCACCAGGAAGCACTTCTTCCTCTCCCGGGACGGGGAGGCCGTGGAGGCCGGCGCCCCTGCCCCCGGAGGAGCCGCGTGGGACAGGTTCCCATAATCGAACGATTTGCTCCGAATTTCTGGGACTTCGGCCGGGTGTGGGCAAGGCATTTGCTCGGAGGAGCAGCGGCGCATCTCCTTCTGGGGGTGGTGGTGGCCGGGCACGGACAGTGAGTAGGAGCCCGCGGGGACCGTCAAAAACTCCGAATGCTTCCCAAACTCGTCCTGCTTGGTCCCCGGTGCGGGTGCGGGTGCGGCGAGCTTCCCGGCGGGGGTGGCTTCTTCTCTGTCGAAGGACATGGAGAAGCTGGAGCTGTGGGACAGGTTGCTCTCCTGGCTGGGGCTGCGGGAGAGGCCGGTGCCCGTGGACTCGAAGCTGGACTCCCCGGAGGAGTGCTCCATGTCGGCCAGGCGCAGCCGCTTCTTCTTGGGCGGCAGCTTCTCGGCGGGCAGCTGGGACAGGGTCTCGCTGCGCTGGGGCCACTGGAACTCCTCCACCACCACCACGGCCGGCTTCTCGGGGGGCTCTTTGCTCGGGGCCTCCTTCTCCTTGTCCGGCTTGTCGGGCTCCTCTGTGACGCGGATCTCAGGCACCTGGATGTTGTGCTGGCGCACCAGCCGGGGCTGCGCGTGGTAGGCGAGTTGCTGCGGGGCCTGCTGCCCGGGGGCCGGCTTCCCCCCGCCGCTCTCCGCGCTGTCTCCCGCGGGAGCCCACTCCGGGCTCACCGGGGCCTCCGACACCTCGCTGTCCCCGGCCTCCGACGGCGAGGAGGAGGCCGCCTTCTCCGGGGCGCTCGGCACCAGCTCGGAGGACTCGGACCTCTCGAAGGAATTGGGCCGGCTCAGCGAGTTGGTGTGCTGGATCACGGAGATCACGTTCCCTGGAGGCTTCCTGCCTCCGAGGTCGGGCATCTTTTCCGAATCGGAAGGTAACTCCTCGGATCCTGACCCGAGAGAGGGGCTTCCCGCGGCGGGCAGGTGGGGCCGCGCCGGGTCGAAGCGCTCCACGTGGCCGTGGGGCGCGGCCTCCTGCAGCCTGGGGGGCTGCTCGTACTCCGGAGGCAGGATGCTGCTGCAGATCATGGGGGTGTCCTCCTCGTCCCCGACGCTCTTCTCCTTCCGGCGCTTCCTGTTCTCGCACGGGGCTCCGAACAGGGTGGCGGGCACCCCCGGCGAGGGCACTGCCGCCGAGGCCGAGGGGTCCACGAAGTACTCCCCGCCGCCGCCGCCGCCGTGCTTGAAGGAGCCCAAGCTGGGCAGGTCCCTGTAGCTCTGCTTCGGGGCATCGGAGTCGTCCCACTTCTTGTAGGGTTTCCTGCAGACATCGTAGTCGTGGCCACCCCTGTCCCCGGGAGCCAGTTTCTTCTCCTTGGAGGAGGAGGAGGAGGAGGAGCCCGAGATGCTCTTAAGCAGCAGCCGGCCGTGGTGGTGCTCGGCCTCCGCGTGCCCCTCCTGCACCGAGGGCAGCTCGAAGGCAGCCTGCCTCCGGAGCATCCTCTGCGGGGGGATGCCCACGGTCCCCGGGTAGAACACGTCGTCGGAGCCTGTCATCCTCTCGTCAAACGAGTGGCTTCCTCGCAGAGAAGGGGGCACGCTGAGATTCGTCGCTGAAGACGTCGGCATGGAGTTGCTTCGGATAAGGGGCGAGGAGTCCACGGGAGCCTCCAGGAGAGCCGGGCTGCTGCTGCCTTGGAAGTTTGCAGGATAAGGTTTTCCCTCGCTCCGGATGGACGGCGGGATGGTCTGCGATGGCCTGGGCTCGCTGTTGAATTTAGTGGATTTCAGCATGCTCGTCTGGCCGGGATCCAGCTCCCCTTTGCTGGGGATCAGCTGGGAAGCAGGGTCTTCGAACATCTTGACGTCTGGCCTGGTGTTGGCGTGAGGTAGCGGCTCCATCACGCTCTTCCTCCCCATGGTGGCCCGCTCCTGACTGGTGTTGGTAACACTGAGTGTGTTTCTGGGACTGAGCCGGCAGTATTTCCCAAAGATGATTTCCTCGTAAGACTTTGCATTTGTGTTTGGGGGGCTGATCTGCTGCTCTGCGCTTTCCGAGCGAGAGAAATAACCGGAGTCAGTGCTTCCCTTACTGTGCGGGCTCAGGAGGTTCAAGGATGGCTCAGAATCTTGTCCTTTCTTCTCGGACAGCCTTAGTGCAAGTTTCTGCTTCACTGTGTGAGAGTCATCGGCCTTCATATGTAAAGACAGACTGGGTAGCATCTCAGAGCCAATATATTGGGAGCTTTCATGAGGCAAAGGAAGCCCGCTCTTAGGAATAATCAGAATGGGCACCTTCATGGGACCTCCCAGCGATTCCTCCAAGGAGCCAGGGAAGCCCCCTCTGCTGGCAATGTCCAAAGGGAGGGGTGGGCCGGGACTCATTTTGTCCGAAGCCTCTACGAATAAAGAACTCTCCTCATCTGTGTCTGTGCTCTGCTCGCCGTCTGAATGTATTTCTGCTTCCACATCAATAAAACCAGCCTCGAGGTCCAGTTTAGAGACAGCTGACTCTGTGAAAGGGACCAAGCCCGCCTTAATGGCATGGGCATGCGACTTCCTGTGCTTGTACAGATTGCTCTTGGTCTTGAAGGAGAAGCCGCAGGGTATGCACGGGTACGGCCGCTCCCCGGTGTGGGAGCGGATGTGCTTCTTCAGCACGCTGGGCTTGGCACACGCTCTGCTGCAGTACGGGCAGATGTACTTGCCTGGCTTCTTCGGTTTGTGCTCTTTCTTGTGAGCGTCCTCGGACTGTTCGATACTTTTCTGGGAGTATTGGCTAAAAGCTGGGCTCAAACTGGAAATCTTTTTTCTCGGGTAACCACCACCGTGGCCGTGGATCGGAAAAGGAAATAAGTCCTCGGAGGCAACCGATGGCAAAGGGCCGGGGAAAAGCCACGGAGGGCCTTCGAGGCTCTGGTGTGGCTTGTTGCTGTGCATGACCCCCTGTGGCACTGAGTGCTGCGGGAAGGAGAGTGAGTGTTGGCATGAGTAAGGACTCGGACGGTGCAGTGGGTATTGCTTCTCTGCGACGTGCTGGGCCACCTCGCCAGGGGAGGCCAGCTTCCCAGACCCGAAGAGTTGTGCTGATGCCGTGTTTCCGATCTGCTCCGGATCTATCTGCAGTGGTCGCTGTCCGTCTTGACTGCCGAAAGTGCTCATCTTAATAACAGCCGGTTGTCCCTGTCTCCATCTACCTGACGCTTTATCAGTTTCTCCAGGCCTTGAGGTAGCTTTTTGTCCTAGAGCTGTGTCCCCAGTGTCCATTTTTGTCACACAAGATCTTAAGTGCTAATTCTCATGCTAAGACTCATGGAATGTCTCCAAAGCTGTGCTTTTCAAAGCACGCTTGCTTCCATGTTCCAGGGTGTCTGCAAACGTGCCAAAGGCTCCTTCTCTTCGGAGACTTTCACACTCACCCCACAGTCTATGGGCGATAAATGGCAATGTCCTTGGACCTGGGCTATAACACAGTTCTCTCCATTGTAGCCAAGTCCATCCAAAAGCTAATGTAAATCTCTTAAAAATTTCTTATGGCATTTGAATATTTTCAACTAGGATGAAATTGGGGTGGTGAATAGTCTAGGAGAAATTTTGCCCATCAACTAGAGCAAAGTTCAATTGTCAGTTTCACTGAGATAAAATGCTCTGCGGGAATAAGAAATACAAAGAGATTGTCAAAACAGTTATCAAGTAAAAAAAACACCAAAAAACCAAAACCATTCCTAAATAACCAGGCTGGAATTGGATAAATTGAAAATGACTTTTGCTCTAATAAATTTTTTTATGGCTGCTACATAATTTCCACAATTAAAGGATATTAATAGCAAACTTGGTATTAAGTCATAAGCATAAATCTCTTCAATGCTTCAATTGTGGTCATTCTTTTTGGTTAGAAAAGAATTCATTTTGGTTAGAAAAAAATTCATTTTGGTTAGAAAAAAATTTAAAGAAAAATTTTGATAAATATTATTTATGAAATCATAAAAATGTTTAAAGCCTTCATTGATATAAATTTAGAGCTATTTGTAACCAAGTTCTATAACTTGTGTGCTGGTGTACATATTTCTCTATGTAGATGTATTTTATAGATTAATATAAATGTATATTTATAAATATTTAATATAATATACATATATAAATATATAACATAATATATAATATAAACTATAGATATAGCTTAGAAAGAGTGAATTAGTAGAGCTAGATGAAGTCTATAAGAATCAAAGATTGTCACAGAACTTTGGAAAAAGCAGGTTAGTCAAGACAAATAAATAACTATAAAATGTTCATAATGTGGGAGACAAAACATATTTTTGAAACTGTTTAAAAAGGTAATGATTACCTGAATGGTTTGGAGTTCTCATGGGCATGATTGTCTTGATGCTTCCTGGGTAGAAAAAAAAAATGCAGTTAGGAAAGACTGTCCCATTAAACCACAACACTGCTGCATACAAATACCAATTTAAAGTTCATTATCTACAGAACTCACACTGCTATGTGACTAAAGAATAAAAGCAAATAACTTCTTAGAATACAGTGCATTCAAGCAGTAAACCTTATATTGACATGGTGCCCAAAAATATTTCAAAGAGAAGTTATAAAAACTTCAGAGTAACCTTTTCTAAGATATAAGATTATATGAAAAATTATTTCAGTTTTCTTTGATATAATTAGCCTGGTTTCAATCCCTTAGATAGTAAAAAGTTGAGAATGGTAGGGGTTTTTATGAACCTAGAGGCTTGAGCATTTAAAAGAATACATTTCCTTTTTAGGAAATTTGCATCACAAAGCAAGCAAAGGAGTCCTCCAGATGACTGTGAGAACTGGACAACTTAGAAACCATTAGATTTTAAGTGATATTCAACTTTCATAAGCAAATGGTCAATGTAGTACCCAGAGGTTTCTGAGAACCTCAATGCTCAATTGTACCGGTTATGATGAAAGCTGAGAGATTTTTGGGGTGGGCAATGTGGCAGAGCTTACCAAAGTAAGAAAACATGCTGTTTTTTACTGTGTATCCAATAGAATTTATTATCCAGAACATTTTATTTTTATTTTTAAAATATATTTTATTGATTTTTCACAGAGAGGAAGGGAGAGGGATAGAAAGCTAGAAACATCGATGAGAGAGCAATATCGACCAGCTGCCTCCTGAACACCCCACACTGGGGATGTGCCCGCAACCAAGGTAAGTGCCCTTGACCGGAATCAAATCTGGGACCTTTCAGTCCGCAGGCCCATGCTCTAGCCACTGAGCCAAACCAGTTTTGGCCAAAACATTTTTTTTTTTTTTTAATTCAAAACTTTGATCCTAGTAAAAACCACCTTGACTCAATTATGCAAATAGCTTCTATCAGAAAAATCTCTTCCTTTTGAATTTCTAAGATTCCTACCTAATATGTCCTTCCATTTGATGATAAAATCAGATGATCCCCCCAGCCATACTTCCTTCTCCTGGGCATTTAGGAAAAGCTCTGTGTGTGTCTGAGCTGGAGGTCCCAGCAGCTCTGGGGGTCCCTCTGGTCTACATGCATCTGCGCTGCAGTGTCTAAATTTGCACTTCAGTAAAAGGCTTAAGAATATTACTCAGGACATGGAAATTATTCCTATTTCACATGAACCTTTTACATTAGATTTTAAATATATTTGAGGATATTCTCTCCCAACACCAACAAACTGTTATCCATAAAATCAGTTTTCTTCTTGGAGTTGCTGAGACATATAGAAAAAGTTTAAGTAGGAGAGAAGATGAGTGATGAGTCCTTTGGGGAATTTACTGATCATATTCTTTCACCATAAAAAAATGGAGATTCCCCCCCCCCCCCCCCCATTAATCTCTTGTCTACCATTGCTTTCTCTTGGAAACTGAAAAAGAAAATAATAATAACCCTCCGCCAGGTGTGTTGTGTTCACAGATGTATTACAGGGCATGACATGACTGTCTCTTCACTAAGCAGGAGCTGGGAGTGTTCAAAAGTCTCTTTACTGCTTTCCTCCACTTATGTTTAGGAAAGAAAATTCAACCTCAAAACCATAAAGCTTTCAAAGTTTAATCCAAGATTTGATAATGACATTTGTCATTTTTTTTGTGTGTGTGAGGTGAAACTTTTACTTAGTAATCTACCTTTACCAACAATGGTATAAATCCCCAAGCTTGTATTTTATTACTTAAATGTATGAAGATGCTTTTAGACTGAGAAACTGTTTCTCTGGACCTTATTTGGACCTTATTATTGTTATTATCACAAACCATTGTATAAACCTGCAGTTTTAGCTTAATTTCTCAATATGGAACTCCCTAGTACTGTAAAGACCTACAGTAAGTAAAGTGGTTAGCTATAGCTACATAGATTCATTTCACTTTTCATCTCTAATTGCATGTTAAAAGTAAATTTCCACTTTCCCCACTCATCTAATACATTTAAAAGAAAAGCATCATGAGAGCAATCCTCACATGAAAACAGCCAGCTATCATTTCGTTCTCTGCGATTTCTTTTTATGGTAACCAAACCCATGCGAAGTCATTTTTGGCACTCATCGCCAACAAAGAAGAGGTATTCCAAACATGGTTTCACATTCCCATTTAAAATTTTCCCTAATGTCTTTGAGTGCTAGGGGAGGAGTAAGATGTTTTGCCGGAGGATAAGACTTTTGGGTTTTCTGTGGAAGGTGCTCCAGCCCATAGGAGTCCACCAGTCAGTAAAGACAGGAGGTATCTAGCAGGCTCAGCACATTTTTCAGAAAGGGGTAGTGATGAAAAAGATAACTACCCTCTGCATGGCTACTTTAGTGGTAATGGAACTAAAGGAACTGAGCAAAAGAAAAGAAAATGAGCCCAGCTGGCATGGTCCAGTGGTTGAGCATTGGGTTCAATTCCTGGTCAGAGCACATGCCTGGGTTGCAGGCTTGATCCCCAAAGGGGGTTATGCAGGAGCAGCCAATTACTGATTCTCTCTCATTTTTGATGTTTCTATCTCTCTTTCTCCCTCTCCTTTCTTCTTTGAAATGAATAAAAGTATATTTTTTTTAAAAAGAAAAGAAAATGATATACTTCATGAAAGGATTGCCATTTTCCTAAAAGTGTGCCCTGTCCTTTGGCCCCTCTTCACAGTCCCACTCAAACATATTTGGCAAGCAGTTAAATAACTTCCTCAGGCCTGAAAGGCAAGGCAGAGAGCAGCCTCCCGCACAGACCCTGACAGAGGTCTCCTCAGGATAGCTGCTGGGTGGGATTGGCAGGAAGGCAGGCTCACTCTGCACATGAATAAAGGCCCACAGTGTCCAGGCTTGTCAATCTGGGATCTTTTGCTTAGAAAAACACTATCTTAAAAAACAACAACAACAACAAAAAAAAACAACTTCACCTCAGGAAATTAATCATTACTTGAGTGGAGGCAAAAGTCAAAAAAGCATTAAATAATAACATCCTAAATAATAATGGGTTAAAATGACTGGCCACAGACACCACTTCTCTCCTTCCAATATTTTAATACTGAAACATTTAAAAATAAAATAAAATGGTTATTTGGTCTTTTTTTAAATTGAGAATTTAGTGTTACCATTTTACTCGTGTAAACAAACATAGGTCTTATGATAATGAGTGAACAAAATTTTAGAGGCCATTGCTGTACATTTGCTTTTCAAATACCAGAGATCAATCCCAAAATATTTTAAGAAATAGATGAGTATCTCAGAGCACCATGACACATATGAGAAGAAAAAGGATCTACTAAAAACTGTGACCAGTGCCAGAGTCCAGCTGAATACAGACTTATTTCCACAGAAGGATTAAAAAGGGCACCTTCTTGAGAGTCAAAGTCATTACAACTGCTTCTTTTATTAGCAAAAATTCTCATAACAACCCCAGTTCTCCCTAAAATGAGCAAGTCACCAATAAGAGGAAGATACTGTATATTTCATAAAAGCCTGCCAAGCAATTCAAATAACTTTTGGAGAAAAGAAAAAATATTATGATTTGACTGTGACTTGCGAATTTTCATATTTTGTCATGCATTTTTTGCAAAATTTTTATATCTGCGATTTATTTTTCTTGTGAAATATTTTCCCATTATAAAGCAAAAGTAATTAGGGGTTACCAATAAGTTGAATTTGACATGAAAATAAACTTTGCCAGAAAGGAATTCTCCTACATGAGGCTATCTCATTCAAAAACTATAATTAAACTAGTCTCTCATGAAAAACAAAATTAAGTCAAACCAAATATTCATAACACTTTTCTCTCTAAATAGCATATACTTTGCTCC